CAAAAATGGGCATCTGAAATGAACAGATATTTCTCAGACAAGTAAAAGCAGCAAATAAATACATGGAAAAATGTTCAACGTCACTGGTTATTCGAGAGGTGCAAATGAAAACAACACTGAGATTCCACCTCACCCCAGGAAGAATGTCTGCTATTAAGAAATCATCTAATAACAAATGCTGGGGGGGATGTGGGGAGAAAGGAACCCTTCATTGTAGGTGGGAATGCAGACTGGTGCAACCACTGTGGAAATCAGTATGGAGATACCTACCTCAAAGAACTAGGCTTAGAGGTCCCATTCAACCCAGCTATCCCCCTGCTGGGTATCTTTCCAAAAGAATTAAAAGACTCTTACCACAGCGATATATGTGACCCATGTTTATAGCTGCACAGTTCATAATAGCGAAAGCTTGGAAACAGTCCAAGTGCCCATCAGCTGGAGACTGGATAAAGAAGATGTGGGTTTTTTTTATAAAATGGAGTACTACTACTCAGCCATAAAGAACGAGAAACTAGAGACATTTATAGCTAAATGGATGCATATTGAGGCCATCCTCTTAAGTGAAATAAATAGGACACACATGTGTAAATACCGAATAGTTTCTCTAGTGTGGGAAACAAAGTGTAATTAAGGATACACACAGATGAAGTGGCCTAATAACGTATTTCTCAGATTGTGTTTCCTTCATGTGTCATATGACTGTATCAAAATTTAAATTACGGAGAAGTTTCACTTATGTAGAGTCTGCTAACTAAATGGAGTTTTTTTCCTGATCATTATTTCTTCAATGTTGGTTTTGGGGATCTTTCTGAAACAAATCACATCCTCTGGTGTCTTGGTGCTTGAGATGCTTTTTTAAGTTATATGGAAAAATGTTTAAGTGTTTTTCAGTTCTGCTTTGGTTGAGTTCTACTGTATTTGAATATTTTGTATTTTTTTCCCCTTGCATTGTTCTTCTTTGAATGGTTTTAATTTTTTGTATGTGTGTGTTTGATAATAAAGTTATTTAATTTAAAAAAATCTAAATAACAGCAGAAATAAATTCCTATGTGAACTACAATGAAAATACAAATAAATCTGTACCACAAAAATAATCTTTATTTCAATTATCACACCTAAGGCAGTTTTCACACATGAGAACAGCATATTCCATATACAAGTATCACACTGATCGCACACGTGTCTTGTTTTCCAGTCTTCTCTGGTAGGACACACTTGACATCTTGCTGATCTTCCTGTTTTCTTAGGAGGTTCTTGTGATATTTCACCTGTCTGTTCACTGGTCTGTTCCAGAATTCTTTTGAGGAGTTCTTTGGGCAGATACATATTGTTCTTCCTCTGTTGTCATTGATCATTTATCAAGTCCAGTCCCAATCCTCTAAGAAAATTTCTCTGTATGTTTTGTAGTTGTTATTTTCTTTGTAAACTATGAAACTGTCTGGTATGTTTAGGATCAAGCACAACCATTGACCAGTGGTTTGTGTTTTGAATGACATCATAGTTCCTGCCTATCTCGTCAACAACATCTACTCTGCCTTTCATTTTGTTGTAAAGCGACCATTTCTAGTTTAATTTGTATTGACAATTGACTATCAATCTTTTTTTGTTTGTTTTTTATATAGGGTCTTGCTATGTAGTCCAGGCTAGCCTGGAACTTACTTTGTAGCACAGGCTGACCTTGAACTCACAGGATCCTCCTGCCTCAGCCTCTTCAGTGCTGAAAGTACAGGTGTGCACCACCATGCTCAGCTTCACTGTCAATCTTATCATCCTGGTGTAAGTTGTTTTTCTTTGCCATGTAGGAGGCCAATATTATGTTTTTCTGAAATCCAAAGATTGTACTATACATTTCTCTATTGTGAACTTGCAACATCTTTTTCAGGAACCTCGGCTTTGTTCTTGCTAATAGTTCTTGTGCTGGTCAACTGGTTCTTTTAGCAAATGTAACATCAGTGAGTAACTAGTGAACCAATTGTTGAAAGTGACATTTGGGTTACTGTTTGAAATAGGTGCAACAATTCTGTTCACAATGTCATATCGTTTATTACTGCATGAATAAAGAACTGGTGGCTGAGTTCCATGTTAAATTTCTAAATTCAAGGTGTAAAATGCTTTTGCATCTACCAAGGCATATATTTTTATACCATATTTGGAAGGTTTACTTAGCATATATTGCTGAAAGCTTCAACAACCACAAAATGATGCAAGTTGTTCATCAATTGTCATGTATTAAATGGTATATAAATTGCTTGACAGTTTGAAATAAGGCTTTCAGAAAGTGAGTGAATAGCAGCCAAATTGTTGGAATTTTCCTTCTTGGTGGGTCTTTTTGTCATCAAAATGGAGGCAATTTTGAAGGAAACCAAATCTCTTGAGTGTCATTATTCTGAAAAATCTCAGTGCTCCATCTGTCATTTTTCCATAAATTCTTTAGATTATGACAATTACAATGATAAAGTCCTGCTATGAAGGTTTTTAGTTCAGATAATGAGGCATCATGATAAATATATTTTTGAGTATTACTATTAATGCATATAGAATGTTTTACTTGTATTTTATTATTAGTGTATTTCAAAACATCTTGTAGAATATTGTCCATTACAAACAATTTCCAACATTGAATCACAGTGTTGCCATTCTGCCCAGTAAGTAGGTTTCACCCCTGTCAAGAACCTAATAACATTTTCTGACCTAGTTCTAAAGTTGGATCATTCAGGTATACATGACCATTTTGTAGCATTTTGATAGTCAAATATTTACATTACTGTTTTCTTCCTCATCTAATTGAAGTATTCATTCTCTACTCTATCTGTCGTATCTTGCTAACTTCTTTGGCTTACACGATCCAAGTCATCATTGGTAGCTGAGGCACCTGATAACTCACTTTCAACCTCTTCTCAAAGTCGTAAAAGCAGATTTTCATGTGATACTGTACTGAATTGGGTTAATTCTACAAGAAAAACAAAAACATTTAATTAAAAAAATTATTAGTACATAAAGATGTAACATGGCACATAATATGGGTAAAACTCACCCACTTACACTTTGACACACGTGTATACACCTTGCTGTTTGTTATGCCAAGTGGGTGAACACAAAGATTACTTACTGTATTCCCCCAGTGCAGCTACTGAGATGCACAGCTGGCTACTCTTATGCTAAAGTACATATTTTCATTAGAAAAGTATGATATGGGCACCTGCGGC